TATGTGCACAACGTTGGGGCCCTTAGGTGTAGGTAGCACTACCCAGATACAGTTATAGGGGAGAATCCTGAACCAATCTCTGGAGACAGTATCTTTGAGTGACTTCTGTAACTGCAGATATTTCCAGAGAGATCCATCAGAATGTAGGACAGCAGCAGAACAGAAATGACAATCCTTTCTCTTCCTTCTGCTGACAGGATGCAAGAGCTCATTCACACTCCTGAAGATAGTTCCAGAATCTGCAGGGAGCTGAACATAAAATAACAGTCTTCTAATTCTCCTAGCAGGGAAGTAGACAGTCTCCAACTTCTTGTAGTTGCAGTGCATTAGCCTTCCCCTGTTATTATTTCACTGTCCCAGCAGTAAAAGACCATTGAAACAGGTAGGAGCACACTTTCTTTAAGCGGACTCAGAGAACATGGCTTCTCCCCTGTCCTCTTCTTCCTGCCATCCTAGCCCCTCCTCCTCACATTACAGGGAAAAGGGCAAAGTTCAATATCTCAAAACTTAAAGCAAATCAGTAAAATATGGCAGTCTGTTACATCCTGCCCTCTGTAGAATCCTTGCCTTCCACTGGCAAGAGCAGTCCATCTGGTTTATAACCATTTTACAAGATGGTACAATACAATCTAATACAGGGAAATTCTATCACTCAATATTTCAGTCAAAGTATGCAATACATTGATTAACTTAGTGCACTGTTGTCATAGGTCAAGAATCTCTGGGCCCTCCGATTTCTTCTGCCTCTGTCTAGGTTGCTCGGTGGTTGTCCACTAATTTCTTCATCACAGGGTCTTTCACCCACGCCATTGGGAAGGGATCTGGTAGACAGAGGTCCAGATCCTCGTATAGAGTTAGAGTCCCTAACTGGTGAATGAGGGACAAAGCTGAGACTTTCAGGATTCAATCCAGATGAGGGGGAAGAAGGAGAAGGAGCAGAGGTAGAAGGAACCAACTGTGTTTCTGGCAACTGTGTTGATTCAAGAAGAGGGAAGGGTAGCCCAAAAATACCAGCATGGCGTATCAGATTTATGGTGTTTGTACTCTCTGCTCCAATGGAAATAATTTTGAGTGGGATTTAAATTATATCATAAGGCATTATCTTTGAATTATGGTATTGGTTGCTGATTTTTTTAAAAATTTGAGAAGGATTTCAGCAATGGTTTAAAAGCTTAAACTCCCTGGAGTAATTTCCTAGTGATGTAAGTGTACATTTCAAATAATGTATAGGTGGTAGTAAATTCAGGACTGTCCTGATGAATTTGGAAACTGTTGGAAAGTATGCATATAAAGTGGCCATATTATTTTACTGAAATCCAAGTGTTAACATATTAGAAGCAGTATGAGAGATGCTGCATTTGTTAGCTCCATTAGGGGGTGCACCAGAGCTTTTATATAATAGGTCAACAGATATGCTAATGCAAAATGCTTGTGCACATACCCATTCACCCAGGATTTATCTGTGAAGTCTATAACTATGGCTCCACAAGTAAATCCCAGAGAGATAGATTTGTTCGGGAGCAGATGATGAGGCATTTAATTCGTTCTAACCAGTTGAAACTGATTAGTGCACAAATCTACTAAATACTAAACAGGATATTTCACTATTTACAGTAACCACACACATTTGAGAAACATGGATATTAAAACTGGCAGTTTTAGCAAATTCAGAAATTGGCCATAAATATGCTAAATTGTTTAGGGCAATTCAGGAGGATTAATTTAGGGAAGGATTTACCCTCCTTGCTTCCCCAAGGCCAGTGTCTGCAATGTACCTCCTGCCATACAGTTGCAAGAAAAAGTATGTGAACCCTTTGGAATGATATGGATTTCTGCACAAATTGGTAATAAAATGTGATCTGATCATCATCTAAGTCACAACAATAGACAATCACAGTCTGCTTTAACTAATAACACACAAAGAATGAAATATTGCCATGTTTTTATTGAACACACCATGTAAACATTCACAGTGCAGGTGGAAAACGTATGTGAGCCCCTAGACTAATGACATCTCCAAGAGCTAATTGGAGTGAGATGTGAGCCAACTGGAGTCCAATCAATGAGATGAGATTGGATGTGTTGGTTACAGCTGCCCTGCCCTATAAAAAACACACACCAGTTCTGGGTTTGCTTTCACAAGAAGCATTGCCTGATGTAAATGATGCCTCGCACAAAAGAGCTCTCAGAAGACCTACAATCAGGGGCGGACTGAGAACACTCAGGGCCCCCGGGCAAAATAAATCAAGGGCCCCCTTACAGGCCCCACCCACGTTCTGTCGCAAGCCCCACCCTTGTCCCACCTCCATGCCCCTCCTCCAGCCACACCCTACACAATCTTTAGACACAAGGAACAAAAGTGCAATATGTTCTAAACAAGTGTAATTTAATTAACGAATGCAAAAACCAAACTGTGCAAAATAAATAACAAATGCACAAAGACAATTGCATTACCAATGATAAACAGACAAAACAAAAACAAGTGCATTACAAAATCATAAACAGACAAAACCAGACAGAGTATTACAAAATCATAAACAGACAAAGCCAGACAGAGCATTACAAAATCATAAATAGACAAACCAAAACAAGTGCATTACAAAATCATAAACAGACAAACCAAAACAAGTGCATTACAAAATCATAAAAAGACAAAGCCAGAGTATTACAAATAATAAATAGACAAACCAAAACAAGTGCATTACAAAATCATAAATAGACAAACCAAAACAAGTGCATTACAAAATCATAAATAGACAAACCAAAACAAGTGCATTACAAAATCATAAAGACAAACCAAAACAAGTGCATTACAAAATCATAAATAGACAAAACCAGAGTATTACAAAATCATAAATAGACAAACCAAAACAAGTGCATTACAAAATCATAAATAGACAAACCAAAACAAGTGCATTACAAAATCATAAATAGACAAACCAAAACAAGTGCATTACAAAATCATAAATAGACAAAACCAGAGTAATACAAATCAAACAGACAAAACCAGAGCAATACAAATCATAAACAGACAAAACCAGACACAGCATTACAAATCATAAATAGACAAAGCCAGAGTATTACAAATCATAAATACACAAAACCAGATTATTACAAATCATAAATAGACGAACAAAACCAGAGTATTACAAATCGTAAATAGAGAGCAGACGTGCCAACTCGAGCTCCAGGCCTTCTGAGAAAAACGACGATTAAAGAAAGAAAATCAAACTGCTGCCAAACAATACAACCCTCAACCTACACAGGGAAGGCTATGGGGCGAAAAAAGCAAGAGCAGACAAAAGCCCCCCTGGCCGAGATATAGGGGAGATGCTGCAGCGCTCACAGACCCCGATGTGGGACAAAATGGCGTTGGAGGTAGAGGGTCCATCATACTCCTCGGACGACAAGTCAAACGAGATGGGAATGGGGGCAACGAGTGCTCCACTTACCAGAACCAAGCCCCAGCGAGCCACTACTGGAGATCCAGAAACCGCTACCCAAATAAAGGGAATGCTAGCCGAACTACGGAAGAACATAGCGGCAGACATGGACGGCATCAAGGAAGCCATAGACAACGTCATATCGAGGATCACCCTGCTGGAAACCTCATCAAGTTCCCAAGACCAGAGATTGGACTCACTCCAACAAAAGCAACTAGCCACCAGCAACAGGGTCGATGCCTTTGAGGACCAAAGGAGGCGTTACAATCTCAAAATCCACAGAATACTGGGCACTGCTGGCCTAATAGACTTACCTCATTTCGTCAGGCGCATGATAGGCGTCTTGCTGCCACCCAAAAAGGCCAAGGCGATACGGCTCGACGGCATGTTCAGGCTACCAAAGCCAGCCTCCGCCCATATGGATCTGATCATCCGCTTCCAGTCCATGCAGAACAAAACTCTCCTAATGGCGGCTGCATGAGAGAAGGCTCCATTACAACTAGAAGGAGCCACACTGTCCATGTTCCCAGACATCACCAAAGGTACCATCGAGTGGCGCAGGACCCTGCGGTCGCTCCTGCCTCTGCTCCGAGACAAAAGCATCCAGTATCAGTGGGGGACTCCAAGAGCACTCATCTTCCAACATCAAGGAAAGACACACCGAGCCCGAGACCTCTCTGAATTGGAAACCCTTCTACGTAAACTGGGACTTGCAGGCCCTAATCAAGCAACAGCATTGGGACTTTCACAGCTAGATCCCACAACGATACCAGAATTTGTCCCCAGGTCAACAAGACGACCTACACCCTCGAGGTAGAAGACTTGGACGGCTGCAGGCAACCCGGGACTTATCGTCCAAGCTAAAGGACACTTTACCTGCAGCATGCAGTTTCCTCACTAACAAAAACCCATGACGGCACAGTTATACCAAGTTCAAACTCAATGTTTAAATTTGTCTCGGTTTCTAGACATACGCTTTACATATATGGGATTTAATGGCTACCTATAACTCATTCCCCACAACCTTGTGGATAGGCTTTACATACTCCACATGACATACACAAGAGCCCACCACAGACTGCTCTATGCCAATAGCCGACACTCCGGAAGCCATAGTATCACCCCCCCCTCATCCAACACACGACGACACATCACTTACCCCCCGGAGTGAGAACGAAGTGAGAGGTACTCACATCACGCTTCATAGCCAGGAGCCACTCAACCCTCCTAGAGAGGAACATACAATAAAGCTACAGCCCCTATTTACGTTTCAACATGCTACAACTTAAACCCAAAAATGTTCCACATGCCTAACAGTGTCAGCAACAAGAGAAACCCTGTATCTGCCTATATGAGAACCATGTTATGTATTCTTGAACTTACTATGTGGAATGAAAAATAAATAAAAAAAATAAAAAATATATTCATAAATAGACAATTACATGTAAAAATAATTACAATGCAAACAAAATCAGTGCAATACAAATAATAAAAACAAACAGAAGTGCCATCCAATTTCAGCTTCACAAATATATATAGCGTCGGCCAATCTGCAGTTTAAAAGAGAAGCAGAGAGTGGAGTTCAGCAGATGTCTTGCCAAAACGGTCTATGATTTTCTCTTTGTCTCTCTTTATGCTTAAAGAAACATCTTTCTCTATTGCAATAAGCATCAATGTCTCCAGGTTTTGCTGAGTAAGCGTTGATCTAAGTCTTGATTTTAGAATTTTCAACTTTGAAAAACACCGTTCACAGGAGCATTGTGTGGTGCTTAGAGTGATCAAGTACTTGTATGCCATATAAAGATTTTCATAGGCCGATGAACATAATCTGTACTGAAAAAGCAGCTTAAATGCACAGGACGTGCATTTTTGGCAGCAGAGTTTTTTCATAGAAGGCTTACAAGCTGATGGCTCAGAGTCAGAGAAGTCAGGTTCTTCCTCTCCAGCAGAGCTCAATGTTTCATCATCACTATCAAACAGTCCTCTGGAGAGATTTCTGTAACTTGATGCAAATGAAATCAATTCTTCACGAAGAACAGGGCCATCAATTTCAGGAACAGCTGTAGAAATGGCATCAAACTTTATTTTTTCAGGAGAAGCCAGTATTTCCTCAAACCGATTTGGGTCAAAACATGAAATCTGCATGTAAAGTTTGCCATGAGTGGCAAATCTGGTTCTCATACTTTCCAAAACTTTATCACAGATGACATTGTAGCATGAAACTTCAAAGCTGTGTTGTTGATTTGCAGGAACTACACATCTTGTTGATCGGTGTTCTGTGAAAGATTTACTGATGGCAATGTCCTCTGCAGCTAGTTTTTCATTCAGGTGATCAATGAAAGTTGTTGCAGATCCACAGACTCCTGAAAAGTCTCTTGAAATTTTTGATAAACGGTTTGTAGCATCCTCAACCATTCGCCATGCCTGCATAATGTAAAGGGCTGGTGACTGCAAGTAATCTGACACGGGAGTAGTAATGTCAAAAATTCTTATGAATGTAAAAGCGGCCAGGATGGTTTCAAATGTACATAGGTTTTCATTTAGTTTTAGAGCCTCATGACGAACAGAATTTCTAAAATCAGATGAACTACTTACATGCTTCAGAACAAGGATGAGGTCAGAATATAATTCCTCAGAGTGGTTTTCATATGTTCCGCAAAGTTTTCGAAGGGCTCTGGCTTTGCTTGACCACCTGGTAGTACCAATTTTATCAGTTTAGCACTTCCAGTCTTGGCTTTCAGCTGGTCTTCCCAAATTTTGATCCTTTTGTAGGACTCAGAGAAAAAGGTGGACAAGTTACCAAGAAGTCCAAACAAACTCACTGCTGGAACACATACACTGCTTGTATCACATATAACAAGATTTAGGACATGAGCATAGCACCACGTATGAATGTGACTAGGACGCACTTCTGTCATCAATGCTTGCAATCCTGTATATGTGCCACTCATGTTAGCAGCTCTATCAAAGGAATCACCAATACACTGCTCCAAATTCAGTCCAATGTCAGACAAAGAATCTCTTAGCAAATCATGTAAGCCCTTGCTGCTGGAGTCCTCAACATTCACAAAGCGTACCAATCGCTCTTTAGCTTTATCTTCCACAATATATTGCACAACAATGGCACATTGATCATGTGCAGAGACATCTTGAGTAGAATCCATTTGTACCGAAAACATCCCTGCATTGTTAACTTCCTTAACAATGTCTTCTTTAATCATATCTCCAATGATTGTAAACAATTTAGTTATAGAGGACTTGCTCAGAAAAGTTACAAATTTTCCTGGCCCTTTTTGAGATGGGTGACGGTTTTTGGCCACTTTTGTAACTTTTACCAAATGGTCTTTTAGGACTGGGCTATATTCCAAAAGGAGTTTCACCGCCTCCAAAAAAATTCCTCGATTTTCAAGACGGTCATCATCAAAGACATCAGCTACAGATTCTGAATGGCTGCTTCTGTATGGCAATGCTTGGATTCCAATAAAAAAAAAACAACATCAATGATGTTGCTTAGAACAGTACGGCGCTGAAGTACCTGGTTGTGCCTCATAGAAAGCTGGTCAACGGAAAGTTTGTGCTTGATCGATTTGCCTTTAATATTGATCATATAGGCTTCGCTAGCAAATTTATGGCACTGGGACTGCTCATGCTCGGTGAGTCTTGTTGTAATATGTCTCCAGTCATTACAACCCTGAATCCAATGAGTATGGTGATATTTTTCTGCACAATACATAAGGCAAATTGAACAGTGCAGGGTCTTCTTTTTGCCATTGTAAGTAACCCATTTTCTATTAATATTTGATCCTTGTATACCTTTTCAGAAGTAAACAAGGTTTCCATTGAATGGGATGTCCTGAGTAGGTTGTTTAGGATGAAATTCCCAGAACATTTCCATGGAGATTCCAGCCTTTTTCAAATCATGGGAATGAAGAAAGAAATCCTCTGGGGACGGTGATTTTTCCCACAGCGGAGACAATGCAGTCTCCTTCCTGGGCATTTTTATAGGAGGTTCTCTCTCTTTGGTCTCTTCAGCTAAAACACATACATTAGATTTTTCAGAAACAGAAGTTTCAGTCTCCACTGGCATTCCACTTGCTACATCCTGCTCTGGATCCGATTTCTTTTGAAAAAATTTGTCGATTTTGCTTGTTGATGCTTCAATTTTCTTCTGTTCCTCTTTCTTTTCCTTTCTCTTCATTGCACCACTTTTGTGTTTATAACCTTCTGATGAAGACATTGTAGTGCTGAAAATGACAACAACCTGCGTATGTAATGTGTCATAGGGATTAGACATGAGTCTCATCAATCATTTGTTGGTGAAAATGAACTGCCAAACATATTTAAAAATACATGTTTAATGGTTGAACTCAATGACACATTTGTGGGTTTTTTAAATCTAGATTACAATAATGTATTCATTGGTGCATGAACAGTTTCCCAACACACACCTGGACAATGTAAAAGCAGAGTACACTATACCTACCACTCATCACTGAGAAAAGGACTAGTGCTCATTCCTGGTGAAGAGAGCTTACAAGACCCATCACATAAGTACACTATGTGTAGCAAGAGCAGAAATGTTAGTTTCATCCAAATTTAACCAAACATGAATATGCAAAAATATACCAATACCATGAACAGAGGGCCAGGCTACATGCACCAGTAGGTGTCAAATCTCAGTGCAGCGAGTCTTTCTTTAAAAAAAATAAGTAACACTAGATAATAAACTTTAATCCTGACACAACCAATGCACATTCACACAGTGTGTGACTGACAAATAAAATGGATAGAGCCAATATTAGAACACTGATTTACAGGATGCCAAGATGGAGGTGCTCAGTCAGTACCATCGTAGAGGATAAAATAAATAGGAAATACACAATTCTGTACTGTGCTTGAACTTTTAAGGACACCGTACATGCACAAGTCCCTTTTGCATAAATACCATCCCACATGGGGTAAAACTGAATTTAGCCCAATCTTAAGAGGCCATACAATGTTAATGAAAACCAACACTATATGAAAAATCTCCGCTATAATGGGAAATATTTCCACCATACCCCACATTTTGCATCAGAAACCTACTCCAAGCCATCAACCATGTGCAAAGCAATGTGCCATTTTAAGTTTTAATGCTCTGGATATTATCCCATTAAATAAAACACTGACAGAGTTATTTACTAAAGTAAGATTTCAAAAGGTAAAGGGACACAAAAGGCACCCAGACCACTTCAGCTCATTGAAGTGGGGTAGGTACAGTGTCCCTTTTGCTCATCGAGCTGCAACGTTCTAGAGAAACTGCAATGTTTACGTTCCATCAATAAGTCAGCCTCTAGTGGCTGTCAGCCACCTGAGGGCTTCCTGGATTAAAACAGACCTTTGGTCCAGTATCTGATGCTGGACGTCCTCACGCTCTGCATGATGACCTCCAGGGTCAGATTTTTCCCCATAGGAAAGCTTTGTGATCTAATGCATGCGCGGCATTTCTAACGCATTAGCGCCTGGTTGTTGTGGGACGTCGAAGGGGGCAGAGCATCAACCCACTGCAGAGGGATATTGGCGCAGGGATCAGTTAAAGGATCACCACAATGTCAGGAAAACAAACTCGTTTTACTGACATTATATAACCCTTAGGTTCCCCCTTCCGGTGTGCTAAAGGAGTTAAAACCCCTTCAGCCACTTACCTTTATCCAGCGCCGGGGTCCCTCGCGGTGACCTCTCCACCCCCGCCGGCGTCAGCTCCCAAGTGGGGCGTAATGCGCGGCAAGAGCACGATTTTCGCATCCAGTGTCACAGAAGCGCCTCTAGCAGCTGTCAGGAAGACAGCCACTAGAGGCTGGATTAATCCTGCAATGTAAACATAGCAGTTTCTCTGAAACTGCTAGTTTTACATTTGATGGTTTAAAACCTAGGGGGCCAGGCACCCAGACCACTTCATTGAGCTGAAGTGGTCTGGGTGATTGTAGTGTCCCTTTAAGTAAATAAAGGGTTTATTTTGTATGCATTGATGCAGACTAGCATCCGGCCGAATAGAATACTGGAGTACTGGCAAAAGAGTTATAAAAATATATATATTTAATATAGTCAAAAAATATTTTTTTTAGAGAGATAGATATATATATATATTTATTTTATTTAAAAAGGGTGCCCAAAAGGTAGATTCCCAGATGTTTTTAAACAACAGCTTATACAATGCTTTGCCATTCTAAGAGCATGCAAAGCATCATGGGAGTTGTAGTTCTACAACATCTGGGTAGCTACCTTTCGTGCACCCCTGCTATAAACTATACAAAATCCAGTACACTATACAAAATCCAGTACACTCACCCACGTTTTGAAAAATATAATTGTTTTTTAAAAAACACAGGAATGAAGCAAAAATAAAGGTACTCTAGCTACAGTATATGATCATCTGCATCAGCTTGTCACAAAGTCAATGTGTCCCATAATGTAAGCACATTTAAGAGAGTGCAGATTCACGGTTTCATATATATGTGCTCCGTGAATGTTATAAGTGATTTTATATATTTTTTAATTTTTCTAACAAAAGTTACTATAATGCATGGCTTGACAAATTTGTTTGAAATCTAGGAGTCAGCTAAAAAGTTAGGAGCCAGTCTTTTTAACCCCTTAAGGACACATGACATGTGTGACATGTCATGATTCCCTTTTATTCCAGAAGTTTGGTCCTCAAGGGGTTAAACGAACAAAGCTTCATTTTGAAAAATGAAAAACACAATTCTTAAGGGGACACTATAGTCATCAGAACCACTGCAGCTTAATGTAGTTGTTCTGGTATCTGTAGCATGTCCGTGCAGGATTTTTAATGTAAAGACTATCTTTTCAGAGAAAAGACAGTGTTTACATTGCTGTCTTGGGACACCTCTTGTGGCAGTCACTCACGCTTAGTTTCAGCCTCTGCATGGAGGCGCTGAATGTTCCCCATAGAGATGCATTGATGCAATGTATCTCTAGGAGGAGATGCTGATTGGCGCAGCACAGCCTTTTCTGCACATGCGCAATATCCTCCTAAAGCCTATGGGAAAGCATTGAATTAAAGATTGATGATATCCGCCATGGAGGAAGGACCAGCCATAGGGGCAGGACCAGCTGCGGCAAAACAGGCAAAGCGTAGGAAAAAAGGAGAGTAAAAACACCTTTCCCATGTGATCGGAGAGGGCAGGTACCTAAACAGACACAGAGACAGACAGGCACACACAGACAGAGACACAGTTTATGAGAAATTCACATATGAACATTTAAATGGACAAACAGCAGGAAGTAAAGTAGACTGATCTACAGGGACCTGTAGAGGGGTATATATAACAGACCCTCTCAGTGTCCTTTAGAGAGTGTGTTAGAAAGAATCTCCTCCAGGCCCCATTAGAGACTATAATGGAGTCTAATAGGCTTGGAAGGGGGTCTTTCTAGCAGAGGCTATCTCAGTGTCCTTTAAAGACTGTTAGAAGGAATCCCCCCCAGGCCCCATTAGAGATTATAATTGAGGGCTAATGGGCCACGGAGAGGGGTCTTTCTAGCAGAGGCTAAGTGTCCTTTAGAGAGTGTGAGAAAGAATCCCCTCCAGGCCCCATTAGAGACTACAATGGCGGCTGGCTGGCCGGCCTGTGGCGGCTGGCTGGCCGGCCTGTGGCGGCTGGCTGGCCGGCCTGTGGCGGGCGGGCGGCTGGCCTGTGGCGGGCGGGCGGCTGGCGGGCGGCTGGCTGGCCTGTGGCGGGCGGCTGGCTGGCTGGCCTGTGGCGGGCGGCTGCCTGGCCTGTGGCGGGCGGCTGGCCTGTGGCGGCTGGCTGGCCTGTGGCGGGCGGACGGCCTGTGGCGGGGGGACGGCCTGTGGCGGGCGGACGGGCAGCTGGCCTGTGGCGGGCGGGCGGCTGGCTGGCCTGTGGTGGCGGCCTGTATGGCGAGGCCGAGGCGGCTGGCCTGTGGCGGCGAGGCGGCTGGCCTGTGGCGAGGCGAGGCGGCTGGCTGGCCTGTGGCAGTGACTGGCCTGTAGCAATGAAGGCGGGCTGACTGCAGCCTGTGGCGAGGCGAGGCGGCGCTGGCCTGTGGCGGGCGGCGAGGCGGCCTGTGTGGCGGCTAGGCGGGCGGCCTGTATGGCGGTGAACGACCTGTGGCGGCACCTGAAGCGGGCGGCCTGTGGCCTGGGCCGGAGCCTGACTGTGGCCAGGCTGACTGGCCTGTGGCTGACTGGGCGAAGACGGCC